TGACAGCAGAGCTGGGCTGGGAATGGGGTACCCCCAGGGACTGGGTAAATCTGACAGCAGAGCTGGGCTGGCAATCAGGCAGAAAGAAGGACTGGGTAAACTCTGACAGCCACAGCTGGGCTGGGAATCAGTGTCAGAGCAGGGAAGGGCAAGTCTGACTCACTACTGAGGGCAGAATCTGCTCCCATTTTAAATCTCCTGGTTCAGCTTCTTCTGTGAGTTCCCCCTGAATGAACTCTGAATTCCTCAGGGTTCATGCTGTAACTCCTGCTGTTGACTTAGTTTTACTGCTGTTAACTTAGTTCTTAATACTGTTAACTTGGGTTTAGTCTGTCTTAGACACACTATACAGTGATTTTTATTTCCTTCTGCCTGGTACCAGGTGCTTCAGGAGATGAAGCAAATAATGCTGTGTTGAGGTGGGAAATAACCCATCCTGTTCCTTCCCAGCTCCTGCCCTGGGCCCTGGGCACCTTGGTTACCTGAGTGCCACCATACCTGTGTGTGCTGGTGACACTGAGCCTGAACAAAATGTTTGCAGGGTGGGTTTGAGCAGGACCAGCCTGGGGTAGCTCCAGGTGTAGCCTTAAGGTGTTGTCTCCAGGCAGGTTTTGGGAGGCAAAGCCATACCCACTGTCATGGATCTACTCCAGACTCAATCTCAGGAATAGGAGGAAGAGCTAATTCAAATTTTAAGGTGCTAATTCAAAGTTTTGAAGTCCAGGTGAGGATCTGTCCCACTTCAGTGGGAGTTACACCTTCACTGGGTTTAGTACTGAGCTTCAGCCCAGGGGAGAGAAACGTTCCTGACTTAATCCTGGATTAACATAATCTGAAGCACTACAGACCATGGGCCATGACCCCTGCAGGGCTGTGCACTGTGGGGAGGCAGCCAAATCAACTCCTGGGGCTGTGTCCTAATCCCAGGCTCAGAGTTAGACTCACCCCAGCAGTGGAGGGGTGGGAGGGGACTGAGGACACCGTGGTTTGCTGGGTGGCCACCGAGGACGAGCGTTGTTGTGGCAGCTCGATGGTTTTCACCTGTTTGTAGCCCACTGAAAGGGAAACAGAGTTTGTGGTGTTACTGGTGATGGAGCTGTTGTGGTTGAAGATCAGGGACAGGGCACTTGGGTGGCTCAAATTGCTGGAACAGATTGACACGTTGGTTGTGTCCACAACTTGCCCTTTTGGAGCTGTGGTTTGTCCTGGCTGCAGGAATGGGTGCCCCAGCTGGCGTGGGCAGGTTGCCCTGCCCGCTGCCCCCGTACCTGTGGTGGTGGTGGTGAAGAAGCCCCCGTTGCTGTAGTAGGACAGGCGCTGGTCGGTGCCCTCCGAGGGCTCGGATTTCTCGTCTCCGGCGCCGCTGATGCTCAGGGCGCTGGCGGAGCGGGAATGCTCCCGGCTGCGCCGCTGGGCCTGGACTGGGGGACAGCAGGGGCATGGTCACCACACCCGTGGGGGTTCACAGCCCCAGCCCTGCTGTTTCCCAAAGTTTATGGGGAAAAAACTCCGTGTAAATAATCCCAGTGTATTTTATGGTTCCTCGGTGGTGTTTCCCAGTGATTTTTTTAAGTGTTCCGTGGACACCACGCTCAAGTTCTGCTCTTCAACAGTCACAGTAGTTTTATCCTTTCTCCAGTCTCCTTCCTCTTAGTCCTCCAGAGTTTTTATTCTAATTATCCCACCTTTCCCTTCCTTCTCTGGCACAGCTCTGAGCCCTCCCTGAGACTGGTTTCTACCCTTCAGGTATTTTTCCTCTCAATAAGCAGGAAAGGAGTTAAACAGAATAAATGTAACTCAGGACAGTACTTTTAGTTATTGCAAAAGGAATCACGTGCTGTGTGGGTCATATAAACAATCCTCCTCCTGCCTGTGCTGGGTCATTTTATGACAGAAAAATTAATAATGTCTTGTTTGAAAATATGCTGGGGAGGAGCAGCCACAGACAGTTTGTCCTGTGTCCCTGTGTCACCCCTGACCTCTCAGCTCTGTTTGGCCCCAAGACCCCACGTTTGCAGGAGTACAAACCCTGTTTTGCCCCAGTAGAAGAGCCCCTGGGACACACCTGAGATCATGTGCAGGCTCCGGGACTGGATGTTGTCCTCGGCCGGGTCGTAGTCGAAGACAGATCCGGGGTTGGTGCGCCAGACACGGAGACCTGCGGGAGAAGCGGGAATGCTGGAGAGCTGGAGCGGCACAGCCCTGGCCTGGACAGCAGGAATAGCAGCTGTGGCCTCCCTGGAAGTGTCCAAGGCCTGGCTGGAGGGGGCTTGGAACAACCTGAGATAGTGGGAGGTGTCCCTGCCCATGGAAGGGGGTGGAACAGGATGGGCTTTAAGGTCCCTTTTATCCCAAACCAGTTTGGAATTTTATGAAAAGCATATTTGTTTCATCGATTTGTATTTCTCAATTGTAGAGCACAGATTAGGCTTTTTTTTACAGTTCATCCACATCAGGGTCTTTAATATGCATAGAGATATAATCTAGTGCTACAGTATAATATTCTAGTGTTACATTCTAAAGCTGGGGACAGGCAGACCACAGCTGCTGCAAGACAATATTTTTTCAAAAGAGATTTTCAAAGAAAAGACTGTCAAGAAAGGACTTCCATAAAAATATCATCCCCAAGTAATGATGAATTAGAATTGATGTGGCTGAGCTTAAATTAAACCACTCATCCCAGCTCTGCTTGTGTTGTGGAAATGAAGTAGTGAAGTCCTTATGAAATTAGCTCCTGCTTACCTGGGAGGTACTGGGGTCTTTGGAGAGCCTTACCTGTGAGGTTCTCCTGGTCCTGGTCCACACGTTTGCGCTCCATCTCCACCACCCTCCTCTGGATGCCCCTGTAACTGATGTCACTGAAGTCCTGCATGTTCTTCTTCACCCTCTCCGTGATGGGGTCGGTGACCACGGGGGTGAAGCTCCCTTTGCTCTTCTCAAAGTCCTCGTGGTACTTCACCTGCAGGTTCAAATGGAAGGGCTGTGCTCTGCAGCTCAGCTGTGACCCCTGCTTCCCTCAGGTGAAGTTCAGGGAGTGTCCCAAACTTTGGCTTTCCCAGTCCAAGGGGCCACGAGAGAGCCTAATTCCTTGAATGCTTTAGTGTGAAAGATTTGGGTCAGCAAACCTGTCCTTGAGCTGCCAACCAGGCTTATGTTTAGGTTTAACTCCCTTCCCCAGGTAAGGCCCCTCTGGAGCTGCCCTTACTGTGGAGATGTGTTTCTGGGTCTCCCTCACTCTCCGCATCTCCGGCGTGTCCAGGACGTAGGCGGCTTTTCCTTGGACCTGCTTCCGGAAACTGTCGGAGTAAAGAACCTGCCAGGGGAGAACAAGGACAGAACCGTGTCAGGATTTACCTCAGGTTAGCAAAGAAGGGCCTGAAGGAGGCCAGGTCCAGATTTTTATAGAGAACATCAGAAATCTCTTACTGAGGAACCATCATTTTCTGTCTCCTGAAGTGTAAGAGCAGCAAAACCAGAAGAGACTTGAAAGCAACGTGTTACTTGAAATTTAACTGTTCAAAAATCCCCCAAACTCCAGTGAATCACAAGGAATATATTAAAGAATTCCATGTGGTTACTTCATCCCTCCAAGCCTCAACTCTGAGTGAGGATTTCAGGGATAAAATGTGATTTTAGTGTATTTTCCCCTTGGCTGAGCAGGACTCACCGAGCTGATGTTCTCCTGGTTCCGTTTGGCTCTTTCCATCTCCGGAGTCAGAGGGGTTGGGGTTCCCTTTGCCATGTGCTCCTTGTACAAAACCTGCAGAGCACAAGCACGTGGACACAGCTCAGAATTCCAGGCAGAATCCCAGCTCTCTGGGAACGGGGTTATTGAAGCAAACCCAGCGCTGCAGGATGGAAAAGATCTCGGGAAACAAAGCGGCTGAAAAGTTATTGGCAAAAGGTGAAAAAAAAAAAAATCCGAGGGAAAATAGACAAAAATGAGGAAAACTGGGAAAATGAGGTTGAATTAGAGTGGGTTTGGCTCAGGGTGGTTATTTTGGATACAAAGGCTTGGCTGTTCCCTCAGTACCGAGCTGATCTGTTCCTGGTTGCGCTTGACTCGCTCCATCTCCGGAGTGACCGGGCTGGGGGTGGCCTTCCCTAAGCCTTCCCTGTAGGCAACCTACAGAGCACAGAGGAATTATCACCGGGAGAAAACCAAAAACTGGGCTGTTACTGGGTTTAGAGACAACACCAGCTGTTAGGAAAGGGGAAAAAAGTCAGGAGAAAGAGGATTAACAAGTTACACACCAAAAAAGTCATTGCAAGAGGTGACTTGCTAAGAGGAAAAATTAGAGAGTGAAGTAAAACCAGGTTATTAAGAAGTTCTCTATCACATCATCTCGTGTTAAGCACTTCAGTGGGATCTTTGGGGAGTGTTTTCCTGGGGGAAGTACCGAGCTAATCTGTTCTTGATTGCGTTTGACTCTCTCCATCTCAGGGGTGACCGGGGTGGGGGTCGCCTGCCCCACGTTCTCTTTGTACAACACCTGTGGGATACACAACATGTACCCAGGGGCTTAAAAATCCCCAAACGGAAAGGGTTTGAACACAAAGGGTTACTTTGTTATCAAATTGCCAAAAAGTCAAACATTTAGTGCTGCCAGAAGGGGTGAGAGAGGCAGACTGGAGAGAAAAGCTGGGCTTTGGGGTTAACAGAGCCGGGCTCTATCCAGGGGCAGGGAGGCTGAAGGGCCAGAGGCTCAAGGAAGACACCTCTGGCTCTACAGAAAACATTTCTTTAACAGTTACCTGCTTTTTTATGTATATTTTAAGTCATTCCTGACCTTTTTTGCCACGCTGTCCCAAATTCAGATGTCAGGGGTGGGTGTTTTTCCCTGAAGTCAAATTCCCCTGAAAATCTACTGAAAGTTGAAATACTAAATATAAACCTGAATGTGCCTGAGCAACCTGGTCTGGTGGAAGGTGGGGGTGGAACAAGACGGGATTTAAGGTCCTTTCTAACCCCAACATTCCATAATCTCCAGCAAGAGGTCTCTGAGCTTGTCTGGATAGAACCCACAAATACACAGAGTTGTAGAAAAGCCGTGAAGTTGTGGGATCGGTTTAGAAGGAGCAATTAATCTGCAGAAAGAAACACATCTATTTTTTAGCTTGAACTCGGCTTTGAGTCAGGAGTTAGGCTGCTGTTTGTTAGGCCAGAGGCAAACAAAGCCCTCCCCGTTAAGTACCGAGCTGATGATCTCCTGGTTGCGTTTGACTCGCTGCATCTCGGGGGTGACGGGGGTCGGAGTCACTTTGCCCATGTTTTCTTTGTACAGGACCTGCGGGGTACAAGGGAGCATCCACAGGTCATTTAAAAAGGAAAAAGAAAAACCCCAAGGAAAACAAAGCAGAACGTTCAGCCCAGCTTTGGAGTTACACCGAGAAAGGGTTAGAGCTGGGGCACGGGAGGAGCTGGAGCTTGGCCATTAATCTGGGATGCAGGGATGGGCCCCTGCGTGGAATCAACTGCTGGAAACACACTTGGGGTGAGAAAGGGTTAAAAAAAATAAAATAAAAAAATCAACCAGAAAAACAAAATCCACTCAAAAAGGGATTTTTTTTTCCTCAGTGAAATCCTGCTTCAAACAGTGTTAAGGAGAAGCCTTTGGTTGTGTCGCTGTGCCTGGAGTTAATAAGCACAGATTGCTGAGTGTTACGGTGTGTTAAACACTTCATTCCAAGGTTTAGGAAGTGTTTTCCTGGTGGAAGTACCGAGCTAATGATCTCTTGATTGCGTTTGACTCTCTCCATCTCGGGGGTGACGGGGGTGGGGGTGGCTTTCCCTATGTTTTCCTTGTACAACACCTGTGGGAGGAGAGAAAGAGCCACAGAAAGCAACAGTGAATAAACAACCAGCTCTCCCGACACAGTTTTTTTTAACCTTGGATTTAGTTTCTCACGGCCCAGGGATTTTTAAAGCAGGTCCTTTAGTAGAGTTTTGCAGCCTGGTTTTAACTCCTCGTAATAAACAGTGTAAGTAAATCATGTGAGATCATGTAAATCATGTAAATCATCAGTGAGCACTAAATACCACATGGAGGGGCTCAGAATGTTATAAAAATTTAAATTAATTGCTTTAAAATAAATGTCAGCACTGCAGAGAAAATGAGGGGAAATTTAAGTGTTTTTAGGATTAGAACTGGGTATTAAAAATCACTCTTAAAATCAAGATAAACAGGAGCAAAAGTCAAGGTTTAAACCAGAGTAAGCCGTGAGTAAGAAGTGGCCCCTGCTCTGAGCTGGGTCAGTGTTATTTTGGAACAAATCCACTTATTCCAAGTGTTAAAAAGTGGTTTTAGAGGGAGTTAAAGGGCAGTTTTTCTCTGGGAAGTACCGAGCTACAGATCTCCTGGTTGCGTTTGACCCTCTCCATCTCAGGGGTGACAGGGGTGGGGGTCCCCGTCCCCACATTCTCTTTGTACAACACCTGCATGACAGAAAGCATCCAGAAAACATCATCACCACTCAAAAAATCATTAAATCCATCATCTCCCGGGGAAGGGGAGCTTTTAGACCCCCCCGTCCTCTGCTGCAGGGAGCTGGAAAGGCCCCTCCCTTTGCCAGGAGAAAAGCAGGACACAGAAGTGGATGTATAAAAAAACCCAACACTAAAAAAAAGGAAGAAGGGAGGTGGAACAGGAAGCAAAACAGTTAAAAAAATATTCAGGATAATGTCAATAATTTGTAAATAATTTATAACTAACTTCATCAGTGAAGAAGGGCCGGGTCAGTAACGCTGGAAAACGGGAAGAGAGGATAAGTCGATTACATGGAATAAGAATTGATTACACGGAATAAGAGCTGATTACACGGAATAAGGAGAGGAATTGCCCATTTTTAAAGGAGGTTAGGGAGCAGTGTTTGGGTGCAGTGAAAGGGGGGCTGTTCCTCCCCACGATACCGAGCTGATGAGCTCCTGGGTGCGTTTGACTCGCTCCACCTCGGGAGGCACCGGGATGGGGGTTCCTGTTCCCAGCTCCTCCCGGTACAAAACCTGCAGGATAAAGGGCTGGTCAGGGAGGGAACAGCAACAGGCACACGGAGGGGTTGGGAAAGTGCCTCCCACACACAGTTTGGGATAAAAACCAGGGATTAAAAACTCCTCAAAACCACACAGTGAATACGGATTTCCTCCGGGAGCTGGAGCGTCATTGCTGCTCCTGAGCCGGACACCAAATGTGCAACAAAACACTGGGAAAGTATCAAATACAACAGAAAACCAGCAAATAAACCAATTTAATTCATTCCCACCCCAGCAGGTCCTGCTGACCCCACCCCAGCACTGCCACACCCAGCCAAGGCCCACAGGAGTTTAGTTCTTGTGCAGAAAGGAAGGAAAATCAGGGAAACACCCACCACACAGAGCAAAAGGTAAGGATTGCTGAGACCAAGAGAAGGAAAACAGGGTGGGGTTTTTAAGAGTTAAAAAAAAAAAAAAAGGTAATCACAATCAAAAAGGTGAAATTCAATTATTAAAATGATATCATTAAAAAAAGGGAACAAGAACAATGTAAGTAATAATTACAAAGGAAAAAAAAAAATCTCAAAGGACCAGGATATTATTTCTTGGGTAAGTTGATTACAGGGAAACAAGAATATTGATTGGTGTGTTAAAAAGTCTTTTAAAATAGATTAAAAGGGATTTTTGTTTCGCTTTTCAAATTCCAAGATACCGAGCTCAAGTTTTCCTGGTTGCGTTTGACCCTCTGGATCTCGGGGGTCACAGGGGTGGGGGTTCCTGTGCCCAGCTCCTCCTTGTACAACACCTGGGGGGCAACAGGGTTAGAGTGACAAAAAAGAGAATAAAACCAACAGCAGGAACACTCCCACCAGGAGAGAGGGGCTCTCACACGCCCTGGAGAAACAGGGATTAAAAAAGCCCTGGAAATAAAAAACTAGTTTCGAACTCTGTTACACTGATAAGACTGAAGCTGAAGGGGGATTGATTTATATGGATACTGGGAAGGAATTCCTGGCTGGGAGGGTGGGGAGGCCCTGGCACAGGTTGCCCAGAGAAGCTGTGGCTGCCCCTGGATCCCTGGAAGTGTCCAAGGCCAGGCTGGACGGGGCCTGGAGCAAACTGGGCTGGTGGAAGGTGTGAGGGCTGGAATTAGATGGACTTTAATTTCCCTTCCAACCCAAACCAGTCTGGGATTCAATGATTCAGTGAATTCTATCAGACAGTTAAACCTTAGAGTACTTAGAAGACTAAAGTCTTCTATTATTTATGTACTGACAATAAATTGGCAATAAATACATTATTGTCCTTTCAGCAGCTGTGAGGGAAATGTTTTCCTGACCATAAGTGAGTCATTGGAGGAGCAGGGCCTGAGGCACCTTCCTGAAACCTTTCCTGTACACACACTTCAACTAAGATTATATATATATATATATATTTTATATCTATTATCACTACTCCTCTCGTGTTTTCAGTGGCACTTCCTCACCTTTCCAAACATCCCAACCCCACTGATTTTTTCCCCTCTAACGGTGCTACCAACACCCCCAGGGCAGTTCCCACCCCCTGGGACTTGGGCCACTGTATCCCTGCAACAACATCCAACATTTCCCAAAGGAAAAGGCATCACATCCAACACAGAAGGAATAAAAGCAGCAATTCCACTTGATTTGCCCACCCCACACCAGCAGAGCACACGGGAGGGAGCAGAGTCAGGTCACAGCCACGGATTTGGGGAAGGAAATAAATAGTTTAGTTTTTATATGTGGTAAAAACCAGGGGAAAAAAACCCAATAACCAAGGGTTGAAGTGATTAATAAAAGGAAAAGCAGAAAATAAAAAATATGGCAAGAGAAAGACGGGAACAGGGAATCTAAAAATCATTAGTGGGGTGGATCCAATCAAAAGAAATTATGGAGGGAAAAATCTCAAAACACAAGGAATGGGATGTTGTTGTGTGAATAGATTACAGGGAAATACAGCAGGAGAGTTTGGGTGTTAAGAGTATTTTGAAAGAGATTAAAAGGTTTGGTTTTTTTTTTTTTTTTGCTTTTCAAGTTGAAAAATACCGAGCTCAAGTTTTCCTGGTTGCGTTTGACCCTCTGGATCTCGGGGGTCACAGGGGTGGGGGTTCCTGTGCCCAGCTCCTCCTTGTACAACACCTGGGGGGCAACAGGCAGTTCAGAGACAGGCCAGAACAAAAAAAAAACCCCTGCATTTGGTGGAGGTAATTCTTGGGATTTTATGCCCATTAAATATATCAGAAAGCAGGAAAAATTAGGAAGGATCGACCAGTTAATAATTGTGATCAATTAAATCCAGAGGAAGGGACAGCTGGGAATGTGCATCCAACTGCTTGGAGCAGAATAATAAAAGGATTAAAAGGAAGGAATTAAGCAAATTATATTTAAAAAGTGGTTTTAAAAATGCAAAATACCTTAAACTGCAGAAAAAAAAAATTAATGGACACCAAGCACTGAGTGTTATGATTATAGAAAAAATATTTCAGAAAATAAGTACATAAAATATAACAGAGTAATTAAAAATGTAATAGCAGAAAGGGGATGGGTTCATAAGTTAATTAGAATAAAAAAAAAAGCAAAAGATACCGAGCTAAAGTTCTCCTGGTTGCGTTTGACCCTCTCCATCTCAGGGGTGACAGGAACGGGGGTGCCAACCCCCAGCCCCTCCTTGTACAACACCTGGGGCAGCAGGGAAATAAAATCAAAGGAGAAAGGGGAGAAAAAAGGAGAAGGGGAAAAAAAAAAAGGAGAAAGGGGAAAAAAAATGAAAAAGAAAAAAAAAAGGAGAAGGGGAAAAAAGGAAAAAGGAAAAAAAAGGAGAAAGGGAAAAATAAAAAAAGAAGAAGAAAAAAAGGAGAAAGGGGGAAAAAACAAGAAAGGAAAAGAAGTTAAAAAAAGGAAAAGAATGAAAAGAGAGAAAGAAGAGCAATAACTTAATACAGGGAAACATCAAAGTATGAAAAATGGTGTTTTTCCAGCCTTGTTCAAAGTCCAACAAAGAACCCTCAATGAAAACGGGGGGCTGAGGTTCCACTGAGCTTTTTTTTCCACTGGGCACAGAAATGTGGGAGTTCTAAACTACCTGAAAACCCTCCTGCAAAGGATTCCCCTTCTCAAATAACAGACCTGGCATGAGCAGCTTTGGCTCCAAGGATTCCAAACTGCAGCATTCCAGCTGCAGGACCTCAGGGATGGGAAGTGCAGCAGAACATTTACCAACAGGGGTTTCTCTGAAATGGCCCCAAGACAGGACTTATTTCATGTCTGAACTGAGCCAAAATGGGCCATAAACTGCTCCAATTAAAGCAGGAATACTGAACAAAATGATGACACAGTGGCCATTTGACTGGGAAGTGTCAGGAGGAGAAATGATCCAGATCAATATTCCTCCCTACAGCAATTTTTCCATCTATATGCAATTTTTACCATGTTTTCATATGCAGTGACCTGGGAATGCCACTTGGATTCCTTACAAAGACCTGGGGGTATAAGTGAACAGCCAACACAGCAGAAATTCCAACTCAAACCATTCCATGATTCCCTGACCCAGGAAGGGTTAAGGGTTCATTTTCCATTGCAGAGGTGAGGCTGGAGATGTTGGAAGGGTGGGTTCTGTTATTGAGGACAGTGACACCACTCACACTACTGACAATTCCTTGGGAATTACAACAAGGCAGCACTCAACTGCTTGAATGACTGAGGTTAAAATCTCCCGGCTGGAACAACTGAGTGACAGGTTAAATGAGGGGAAAACGAAAATATCAGGATCCTGACAGGGTTTCAGTGATTCCATGAGGGAAGGGCTGCTCCAAGGTCACCCAGGAATGGGAAGGACGGTGTCAGTGGAGGAGCTGAAGGGGTCTGACTGGCATTTGGAAGGGCAGGGGGTGGGTTTGGCTCAGTACCGAGCTGATGTTCTCCTGGTTACGCCGCACTCGCTCCATCTCCGGCGTCACCGGGGTCGCGGTGCCCGTCCCTAAACCCTCCTTGTACAACACCTGCGAGGGACGAGACAGTGCCCACAAAAAACCCCTCAACACAGGCAAAACCACCACGGCTGACCCTTCCCTGGGTTATGCTCAGCGTTAGATCACCTCTTAATTCACTTCACACTGGATCCAGAGGCAAATATTAAGGAAGAGGCTGATGGGGGATTATTCTGTAAATAGGTGATGGGAGGGAAGAGAAGATAAAGGGTCGAGATAAACATGGGGAGAGAAACACCACGTCAAATTCGGTTTTGGTTCGCATGGAAAGGTGTGAATCCCCCAAAAGCACAAACAGGTGGAATATCAATGAGTTAAGACACTGCCAGGGCAAAGCCAGGACTAAACCCCTGAGGGAGGAGGAGTGTTAGGGGGTTGCAGAGCAGGATTATAACAACAGCCGTTGTTACAAGTCCTGGGGCCGGTACCGAGCTAATGTGCTCCTGTGTGCGTTTGACTCGCTCTATCTCGGGGGTCACGGGCGTGGGGGTGCCCGTGCCCAGCTCCTCCTTGTACAACACCTGCAGGACACAAGGGCACAGAGTCACGGCATCACTGAGGCTGGAAAACACTTCCAAGGGCATGGGGTCCCCCCTGTGCCCCATCCCCACCTTGTCCCCCAGCCCAGAGCACTGAGTGCCACGGCCAGGCCTTCCTGGGACACCTCCAGGGATGGGCACTCCAAACCTCCCTGGGCAGCCCCTGCCAAGGCCTGACCACCCTTTCCAGGGAGAAATTCCTGCTGATGTCCACCCTGAGCCTCTTCTGGCACAGTTCCCTCTCCTCCTGTCCCTTGTTCCCTGGGAGCAGAGCCCAACAACCCCCCGGCTCCCCCTCCTGTTGCAGAGATCACGACTTCACTGCACTGGGACAGAGAATTTCCCTGGGATCACATGGAAATAGTGCCCAGTTTCTGTCCCTCACTGTCTGTACAAGCCCAGCCACCAGCTCAGCAAAGTGCTTTGACTTCAATGTGTTCAAGCACCTCAAACACTTCAAGGACAAATATCTTCCTGACCTGAGGTTTTGCTTTTCACCTTAGTTCAGGAACTATAACAATATTATTTTTCAGGCACTCAGCATTTCTGGAGTCTCTTTGATGGTGTTTATCTTTTATAACCATGTTTAATCCACAAATACTTAATTGTGGGCTTCATTCATTTTGATTTCTGTGCCTGTTTGTTTGCAACAGCACTGCTCTACTGTGGTTTAGATCTCTAGTAAGGAAAACAACTCTAGCTGTGAGAGGAAAACTCTCTACTAAGGATAACAACTGTTATTCCTCATGTTATTAAGTTTGATTTCACCTGTAATTGGTTTGATTTCAAAAAGATTGTATTTTTTTTTGTGGAGGGAGTTGTACAGGAGAAACTTGGGTTGGTTTAAACCCCAACCACATAGAAATACGTGACAAATGCATTCAGGGCTCTTCCTGCAAGTAGTAAAATATTTGCAACAAAACAAGGCAAGTAAAAAAAAAAAAACCCAGCAACTTTCAGTGCTTGATATAATTGAAACAATGAAAAAAAAAAACAAAAACAAAAATAAAGCAATCTCAGCAAGGGAAAATAAAACTATGTAAAAGGTTGGGGAAAAAAATTAAGAAAACAACTCAGTTGTGCAAAAATGAGCTGGGAAGCACATTGTTGTGGCTGTTAAAATCTACACTTAGATAAGGTAACAGCCAGGTTTTGGTTTCCCTTATTTTGTGACTATAAGGAAGCTCCAATTGGGTTTATTCCACAAAGTTCTCCCTACCTGATCCATTTTTTTCAGACTAGTTACAACACAACCTGGGTAATTTTTGCTCCTACTTCTGCATTTAGAAAAGGTCACAGAATTAATACAGGAAGTGACCGACTGTGATCGAACTCAGGGATTTAAACTCCCTGCTGCTCAACACAAGGATTTGGGAGACTCTTCCCGACCCTAAAACCAACAGCCAAGGAGCAAAGGCTGGAGCTGGAGCTGTGGGTGGTGTGGAGGGGGCAGAGGCAGGGTCATACCGAGCTGATGTGCTTCTGGGTCTCCTTGACGCGCTTCACCTCCGGCAGGTCCGGAATGGGGGTTCCCTTCCCAATGCTCTCCTTGTACTTGATCTGCAGAGGCACAGACAGCAAAAAGGGGTTACACTGGAGCACTAAATGGATTCATTACGGATACAGAAAGAAAATTTTTCTTTCCTGAGCTTGTGGAGAGTGAGAATTTAAAGGATCTCGTGGGCTTCAACTGGTAAAGGATTCCCATCGCCTTGCCAAGAAATCTGGGACAAGGCAACTTCAGCTGCTGAGTCTCTGGGAATGGCACTGGAAGGGTTTTATAAAACCAGCTGGAACCCCATTCCATTTGGTCTTTCTACCAGTGAAAGGAGAATCTGGGCTGTGCAAGAATCCCTCGTGTTCAGCTAAGGTGAGAATTCCCACCTTCTGCTCTCTGCGTCTCTGCCTGGGCACAGCAACTGAAAATGCACCTCACAACCACATATTGAACACATTCTGCATCAACAAATTGGCTGAAATGTTAGTATTTTAGACCAAAATGACACCAGCATTCCAGAAAAGCAGAGAAGAGATTTATGAGCTTGGAAAGAGAAGGACTATGTATAATTATTCCAATTTTAGAGTGCTGCAGTTTTTGATATCGTGTAAAAGCTTGACAAGAGAAGCTTTCCTGAGGCTGGGGGCACTTGTTGGCCCTGGCAGCTCCACAGACAAGCACAAGACACGGACAGAAAACAGGATCCAGAGGGTCCTGAGCAGTGGCACCAGGAGCAGCTGGACACAAGTGACCACTGGGGGACCCTCAGGTCAAAACTGGGTCACCCTCCCGGGGGACCTGGATCTGGGACAGAGGGTGACAAAGCTGGGAGGGTTGGCTGATCCACCCAAGGGTTGTGCTGCATCCAGAGGGACAGGGATGGAGAAAGGGGTTGAGAGGCACCTCAGGAGGTTCCACAGGGGGGAATTCAAGGTCCTGTAACAGGGAGGAACAGCCCCAGGCTGGGAATAACTGGCTGGGAAGCAGCTTTGCAGAGAAGGACCCTGAGAACTCTCATGGCAAAGGCCAAGGTTCTTCCATCCCAACCCATTCCTGATTCCATGGGTTTATGATTCAGGAGGGCATTCCCAGCAGGCCAGGGCAGGTGATCCTGCCCCTCCACTCAGTGAGGCTGCAACTGCAGTTGTGTGTCCAGCTCGGGGCTCCCCAGACATGGAGTGACTGGAGAAGCCAAAAAGATGAGTAGGAGACCAGGATCACCTCAGGCAGGAGAGGAGGCTCAGAGAGCTGGGACTCTTCAGCTTGGAGAGGATGTTCAGGGGGAACTTCTCAATGTGTAGAAATGCCCAGTGAGAAGGAATAAAGGGGAGGAAGCTGCTCTTTTTAGGAGCTCTCAGTGACAGGACAAAAAAATAAAACAAACCAAACAAAAAACCCCCAACCCCTTCCCAAAAAAGAAAAACAAAAAAACCAAAACAAAACAAAAGAAAAAACCCAAACAACAAACCAACCAATCAAACAAACAAAAAACCCACAAAAAACCCACAAAAAACCCCAAAAATCAAACAAGCAAGAAAAATCTAAAAAAGCAACAACCCCCCAAAAAACAACAAAAAAATCCTAAACAAACAAAACAAAACAAAAAAACCCAATTAAAAAAAAAATCAGAAAATTCAGTCTGATCACAGTAAAACACTTTTAAACTGAGAGATGGTCAGACAGACACTGGAGCAAAGTTGCCTGATCTTCATCCTGTGGGATACTCAAACCCCAGCTCATCCAAGCAACCTCCAGACCCTGTTGGAGCAACAGATGCTCTCAACAGGTCCCTTCCAACCTAAATGATTCTTTGATTCTGTCCAAACAAACTTTGGGGTGAGATTAAAATGCTGGCAAGAGCTCTCGTGGTTTAGAAGTGGGTTGTGAGTAAGAAACTGAGTGTTAATCATTAGAAAGATGACTGTTAAAGTAAAAAGGAGAGGCAAAAACTTGAAGAAAGTCACCCTTAGCTGGGTGGGGTTATTGCCAAACCACTGTTAGCAACATGAGAAGAAAAAAAAAAAATAGAAAAAGAAATATTATTTCAAGAGGAATTAGCAGTGGTAGAGGATTAAAAATCAATTCTTTTGTACCGAGCTGATATTATCCTGGGTTTGTTTAACTCTCTGCATCTCTGGTGTCTTTTCAATAGTGGTTCCAGTTCCAATATCTTCTTTATACAAAATCTTAATATTTAGAATGAAGACAACAAGGTTAAGCATCCAAAACACAACATTCTTGCTCTTAAGAGAGTGAACTGGGGCACAAAGGACCAGCTCCAGTCACTGCCTGTTGCCTCAGTGAAGTCTGAGCACCATTTGAGGAAATAAAAGGGGCTGATCATCTATATTTGATGCATTTTAAGCAGAATATCATTGATATATTAAATCAAATGTATTTCAATAGAATATCTGAGAAACCTGAGCTGGTGAAGGTGCCCCTGCAGGGGGTGGGGCGAGATGGGCTTGAAGGTCCCTTCCAACACAAACCATTCCATAATTCTATGATCCAAATATTTGTGGGCTAATTTTAGGGTTGAAGATTGTAATTTTCTCTAATTTGTTTTACACATATGTTTTCCCCTTTGTTGTGTGCTTTAATAATGGTGCTGGAGGCAAAGTTCTACAACAGACTTGAGGAGCTTCACAGCAACATGGAATGGGAAACAAGTCAGGCAGACAGTGCACGAGGGGCCACAGGACAAAAATGCACTTACAGGGTAACAGGACAAAAGAAAAGGAATACTAATTAATTACTAACGAATACTAATTAATTACAGGAGTGACTCTTTAACTATATCACAGCTACGTATGTGAAAAAGTGCAATCAGGGCACTCCACAAAAAAAACAGGCGCTAAAAACACTCCATAAAACCCAACTAAATCTACTGGACCTGGAAGAGGAGAGCCAAACCCAGTTATTTTATCCAGCATTAAACTGGATTTTTGGGGACAGCTGAGGACACAAAGTGACCCTACCGAGCTGAAGTTCTTCTGGTTCTCTTTCACCCGCAGCATCTCCGGGGTGTCTTGGACAACTGTGACTTTTCCTTTGCTGTTCTGAAGGTCTGACTGGTACTGGAGCTGTTGGGAAAGTTCAAGTAAAATGTCAGATGTTGACTCCATCCCATAAACCTTTACTTGCAGAGTTTTCTTTGAAGCTGAGAAAAAAAAAAATAAAAACTTTGTATTTCTGTACTTACTATGCTGAAGTTCTTTTGGTTCTCCCGGACTCGCTGCATTTCTGGGGTGTCTGCCACAGGCACATAGTGTGACATGCTCTTCTCTGCCTCTTCCTTGTATTTTTTCTAACAGAAAATCCCAAATACATTAAAACAGAAACCACAGCAGCAGTGATAAGCTGGCATTACTTATTGCTGCATAATGCCCATCGTTATGAAGATGTGAGTACTCCTCTGCCTGCTGTAAACTGAGATTATGCCTCTGTGTCATTAATTTAAATATTAGGTTATTAAGGAGTGGGAAATTAAGGTAAATCCACGCAGAAAAGAATTAGCTTTGGTATTGCAGAGTATTACACAGCATTAAAATCAATTAATTTGATTATTGAAATGGAATTTCACAGTAAGATGCCACATCACAGCTCTAGAGAGATTTGCTTCCTGGTGTAACCTGAAAGGTGTCAGAGGTGGTTATTTAGGTGCCCAAATTAGTATTTGGTGGCCAATGAACAGTGATTAGGTCGCTTCACTCGAGATACCTGGCTGGAAAGGTTCTTGACCTGGTGGGCATGAATAATCTCTGGAGTATCAACAACACTGGTGTAGTTGGTTTTCTCCATTTCTGCCAATTGTTTGTATTTGATCTGTCGGGCAAAGCTCAGGTTTAGGTGCCTCAATCATCTCTGCACAACAACTTGCACTGGGTTTAAGCACAAAGAACTGAGGTTTCCTTTAAGAAGAGCCCAGGTGACAGCTCAGGGTCCCCCCACACACCTGGCTGGCGATGTCCATGGCGTTCTTGGCCCGCACGAAATCCGGGGTCTCCAGAGCCAGCTCTGTCAGGCCTTTTCCTCGGATTTCTAACTCCAAGGCTTTTTTGTACTCTTTCTGCGGGGGAAGACAGGGAATAGATCATGGCAATGGGAAGGAAATACCTTCAGCAACTTCAGTTTCATGAGCACAGCTCAGAACAGGAATACTACCAATATCGACTCACAGTTCAATCCAGTCACTTCAGGGTGCACTTCATGACTTAGACCTTGGCTTAGTCCCTTGACTGATTTAGGCAATGGACTAATGACCTAAATGAGTCCCTGGACTGATCTGACTATTGATCCCAGCACCTGTTTCCCACCTGAATTCCTGGCAGTGACTGCAAAGACACAAAAGAGCTCCCGTTTCGATCCTTAGTCACCCGCCCATGTTCTTTTTATCACTCAGAAGTTTCTAGGGAATGACAAAGTCCATTCCTCCCTCAGTGGGAGGGTAGATTTAGATGGGAGATTGGGAAGGAATTGTTGGCTGGGAGGGTGGTGAGGCCCTGGCACAGGTTGGGCAGAGAAGCTGTGGCTGCCCCTGGAACCCTGGAAGTGTCCAAGGCCAGGTTGGATGGGGTTTGGAGCTGCTCTAGTGGAAGTTATTCCTTTCCATGGCAGCTGGAGGATGTTCCATCCACTCAGGAATTTTCCAAAGAGCTCTGACATACCTCATTGAGGATTTGAGTTGCATTCTTGGCTCTCAACATCTCTGGAGTCTCCTCCAGGGCTGTCAGTCCTTTCCCCTTGACACCTTCTTCCAGATCCTTCTTGTACTCTTTCTGCAGGAGAAGAGGGAAAAATCCAGGTTAAAGGGAGCTCTGCACTCTACCACTTAATAATATATAAATAAATAATGATAAAAAAAACCAATTAATAATAATAATAATTAAAAGAATTAAAGTAAAAAGAATCACAAAAGCTCCAAAAGAAAAAAACAGATGTGGAAAACAAGAAGGAGGGAATAAAGCACAGAGTTGCTGGTACCTCACTGGCTATTTTGGTTGCATATTTGACATGTAACAGGGATGGTGTGACCTCCAGGCCAGTCAGGTTCCTGCCCTTCATGGACTCCTCAAAGTCCTTCTTGTATTCTTTCTAATGAGAGTAAGAAGGGGAAAAAAAAAAAAAAAGCAAAATAGCAAATGTTTATCACAGCATTTTTAATGATGTGAAAAACTACTGGGAGGATGGAGCAGGGATTGGTTCATGACACTATTTGAGGACACCTAAAGCAATAAATCCTATTTTCACCAAAGGTTATGAAACAGCTCATTGCTTTTCAATGGAAATATGACCAGATCCTGCCTTTAGTTTTTTATTTTTCTACTTATTTGTCCGTGCAGAGAAAATATTTAAAGGAATCACTCCAACACAATGACTTACATGGCCCTATAAAGGTGTTTTTCAGCATGGCCAAGCCTCCATCTGTGCCAGAACAAGATTATACTTCAAATAAACCCAACAAAACTGCTCAGGGAAGTGGAATGACAGGTCTGGGACAGCAGAGACACACAGGGAATAAAGGGCTTCCTCAAAAATGGAGTTTCGAGGTGAAAAAATGACCAGGGCACTTTCTGTGGGCTGTGATAACCAACACACACTGTATTTGTTTTGTAAAGTTTAGGGGAGATGTATTTCATGCTACATTTCTTACTCAAAGACTTGTTTAAGCTTTATTTACTGAGAGCTTCTTGCTAAAAAAAATAACAGATAAAACCCCACTTTACTGTGACACAGGAAAGCTTCAGGAATTTTCATGGTGCCATTTCATAACCAGTGTAAACAAATCTGATCTAACTGTAATTTTTCAGTCTCTCAGCATGCACAGGACAGAAGTATAACTGCCTATTAAATCTCTATTAAAGTTTAACTATAAAAAATAAATTGTAGGATTTTTTTTTTGACCATCAATACTGATTTTGACTGTACCTCGCTCTGCATGAGCTGGGACTCCTTTGCTGTGAGGTATGTTGGAGTCTCAAAGTCCAACATGGGTTTTCCTTTTTCCTTCTCATACTTTTCCCTGTATTTCACCTGAGAAGAAAAGACAAAAAGTCACCCTCCTAAATAATCCAAGACTCAATTCATTGACTTATATCTGCTCACTGACAAGAGTTCTGTGGTAAAAAATTAATGTTTAATACTGTTTACCTTCCTGAAAACTCTTATTATTGACCATCAAATGTCAAATTTGGTGCCCAGGAAGGAAAATGTGCACAAAGATGAAGATATTCTTCCTATAAATTACATTATCAAGCCTTTAGGGCATCAACTGTTGAATGAGATGTTACTGAGTCAGAGCCTGATCCCAAAAAGTAGTGACTTAAAATTTAATTTTAACCATTTTCTTACAGTCCTTTGTTATGTGGCCTTTTTGCTCTTCCATGTCTTGAAAATCCCTGGAAGTGTCCAAGGCCAGGTTGGAGCAACCTGAGCTAGTGGAAGGTGTCCCTGCCCATGGCAGTGGGTGGGACTGGATGGGCTTTGGGGTCCCTTCCAACCCAAAAAAATCCTGGAATTCCATTCCATGCCATAACCATGGTCCTTTGTGTCCTACCAGCAATTTTCCTCTTGCTCTACAGCCAATAAATACTTGGAATGGAGAGGATTAGAGACCAAATCAGAGTATGAATTTCTCTGGAATGATTCACCATTTTATTCCAGAGGGGAAAAACATCAGACACATTTAATAGTTGTTTGGGTTAAAACAATTTTGGATGCAGAAAAGGAATGGCAGAGGTCTCCTTACACTTGAATAATTAAAGCAGTTGAAAATACAACTGTGAACAACAACACTGATTCCTCCAGTTTCCACTTTTTCTGTGATTCCCAGGTCATTTTTCTATAGGAAAATCACCCTGATAAATGTATTATACACTGTAAAAAATCCATGCACAGCAGGGGTGAGGAACTGAGACTGACTGTGGAATGAAGGTATTTTATCTGTATATTTTATGTGTTCTACTTGCAAATGTGCAGATATTTCTCACGGGGCAGCGTTGGTAAAGCAGAGAGGGATTGTTAGAGACTGGAGAGAATTTCCTGGGAGGATTTCAGGGATGGATATTTTTTGGGATAAGGACAAACACACGACCAACTTACGTGGCTCTGGAGTTCTGATGCCTCCCTGAGATGAACCTGCTCAAGATTATCTGGCACCACATGGTAGTGACCCTTACTCTTCTCATATTGCTTCTTGTACTGGTACTGAAGGGAAGGTGTCAAAAATCATCTCAATAAAAAAAAAATCCCTCAGAAAATTTACTTCTCAGGTCCAATCAAAGCAACACTTCAATGGAACATCAAAGAGAAATTAGAAATACAAGAAGCAAAACAAAAAGCAAGAAGTTTAGAAGTGATTTTGGAAACTGGGAGTTAAAGGTGCGGGTTATTTCTTTTTTTTGGGTTGTAACAAAGATTTCGGCAAAACCATTAAAAAAAAGAAAAAGGAAAGAGAAAACACAGCAGATACAAGAAAAGGCTGTACCAAGATACAATGGTTTTTTGCCTTTTCTCAGTAAAATTCTCAATTATTTTGTTAGGCATAATTATGGAAGTTTATAACAGGGGGATATTAAACAAACATGAAAAGATAAAAAACCAGAAAAAATTAAAGAATTTAAATATATTAATCAGTAAAGAAAAAAAAAAAGGCATTTGTTAGTGTGGTGCAACCAGTTAAAATGGGATTAAAGAATCAATCCACTAAAAATTATCAGAGGATTTGAAAGATTTCCCTTCTCAGAGGACAAAAGTGGTGAAGCTGCTGGTTAACGAGGAACTAATAATTAGGAGGTTGAGGAAGAGATCACTACCAGGTGACATCCCATGGGAACAACACGGGGAGGAGCTGTTACAGGAGGAGTTAGCAGAGGGAATTCCCTGTGGGATTGGGAATTAGGGGTGAGTTAAGGCTCTTACAGCACTGGCGAGCTGGCTCGTGCTCAGCACGTGGTTCATGATCAGCGACTGCGACATGTCCGTGACGGGCTTGTGGAGCTTCTTCAGGTCAGCTTTGTACTTCACCTGCACGTCAGGGGGGACAAACCACCTCAGGAAACTGGGCTGGGGGGTGTTTTAGTAACACCAACGAGGTTTTTGGTAAAGAAATCTGAATTTCCCCCCTCAGGAAAAAGCACAACCTCCCCCGTACCTCACTGGCCATGTTGTGGGCGTCCTTCATGGTCTTGTAGATTTTGGCCTCCTTTAGGTCATACTTTGGCTTCTTACCCAACTCTTTGGAAAAGTTCTCCTTGTATTTCACCTAAATGGAAACAACCAGGGGTTACAACTGCTCTTGAGGACTCGCTTGTTTGGTGCAGAAGGCAAAGAGGCTCTGGTTCAACGGGGCTGCTGGGGGGAAGAACAGAAATGTAATAACCTGAAGGCACCCAGTGGAATAAAGGTTATATCAAAGAAAACCTGACATGGAAAGAAAATCTGCATCTGTATTTACAAAATACCACTTGAATGAGAAACTGCATCTCCTCAGTGGAAAAACAGAAGAGCCGAGAGAATTGTGGTGCCAAAATACGGCCAAATCCTGGCCCTTGGGCAGGAAGAATTTTTCACTTGATGGGATCTGCCCATGATTAAAGATATTGCACAAAGAGATGAAAAGAGAGGTATAATAAGAGTATAACAAAAAACAATTATATATATAAAATATATATTATATTTTATATGATATAATGTAAGAGGATATAATACAATATAATATAATATGAGGATATGTAAGAGTGTTTAAAAGAACTTTTTACATATTTCTTGGAGAAATAAGAGCTTTAAAAGACATAAGAGCACTGAAGATGTCAATACATCAAATACTTTTTGATATGTTATTATACAAACACTGTGTTCTGGCTGAGTAAGAGATGAATGACACCAGTGATCACAAACAGGACAGGGACACAATTAATTACCAGGAATTAGATTATACAAGAGGTTTAGTAACACTTCTAAGCCACAGCAGCAGCAGCCAGGTAATGAGAGCCATAATAATCCAGCAGACCTAGGCTGGAAGCAGAGAAATGTTGACAAGAATGAGAATTTTTTAACCCCCAAAAATTGTAGAATTGAAAGCAAGTATGACAGACAGACAAAATCCAACTAAAAAAAAACAACTGGATAAACAAACAGGACATAAAAGAAGGACATAAGAAGTTTATGAGAAGAGATGCCCAAGACAAAACAAAATAGTTGAAGATATTCCAGTTATTCTTTGCTCCCTCACTGCCTCTACAGCAGCTCATTTTCTCTCAGAACTAAAATAATCTCAGCAAAGAATGTTTAAAAGACCCAAAGAACTGGTCAGCACTGGGACAAGAACATGGAAAGGGAGAATCTCAGCACTCAGTGGGAATAAACTTAATTTCTTCTTTTTCTTATAGTTCAGTGGTTCAATTAAAAAATCCCTGGCTCTGATGAAGAGATCCATGGTTTTCCTGACACAGATACATGCAGCAGACATGGAAAACCCAAAATCCCCCCTTTTTTCACTTGGAAATACATGTGTAACACTGAAATGGCACAGACCTGCTGCTGCCACTTCAACACCTGCAGCCCAGGCTCACTTTTTTATTTTACAAAGGTAAAATATCCTTTAGAAGGATAAGAAATGATGTGCCCTCCAAGCCCTCTCAGGCTCTGGGATTGATTCAGTCACACACTATTTTTCCACTGTGAAATTCCAGCACAGTGTAAACAGGCTGTTTACATTTATAAATAAATCAGAATTTTAAATTTCCTTTAAAGTTTAAATAACGTTTAAACGAAGTTTTAATAGAAGTTTGAAAGTTAAAATGAAGTTCTAGTGACTGTTCACTGAAAATTTCCAGCACTATCACTCAGATTTGTCATACACATATATTTCCTTTTTTTTTTTTTTGCACACTTTCAGAAAATAACACCTCAAGTTTTAGGTGTTTTGGCATGAAAAAGATGAGTTTTCACTCATCTGGAAGCTCCAAAGCCATTTTGAAAGGCACAATAACGTTTCAACAAGTTGGTGTTTCAGAATTGCAAGATGATACACAAGCAAGAGACAGATGCACAACAATGGCACTGATGCCACTTAATTAAAATTATCTTACATGGCTACTGAGCATATTGGCTTTCTTAAAGGTTCTCATCCAGGGGGTGTCATAGGATGCAGCTCCGTGGCCCCTCATGTGTTGTTTGAGATACTCAGCCTACAATCAGCAGCAAGAAAGCAAGGTCAGAAAGGCAAAATTCCAGCATTAAAGCATGAAAAGGGAGAAAAAAACCCCAGGCTCTGAGGTTCTGGCAAGAGATTATTTTGAAGACATGGGGTGGAAGGTGGCTGCAAGAAAGCGAGTGTCCATTCAAAGGATGGGTAATAAGAGTTGGGTCAAAGGGGGATTCTTGTAAAGCCAATAAATATCCAGAAGAGCTGAAAAAGAACATGGCAAACACTTCAGCTTTAGCATTTACAAAAAAATCTTCTCACAACACCATTTCAAGAAGATTTTATACCTCCATTAATGACATTTAGTAAATCAGTAGAAATGTTCATCGAACAAAGAAATACCTTGTGCTGGTATTTCATTTTTACTTTATTTTTTTTCCTTTTCCCCTAATCTAGAAATTATTTCAGTTACAATAGTGACATTATAAGTTAATGTTATGTCTCATTTCTCTCATTGTTTCAAAATTTTCCCCCTCCTTACCTGGCTGGTGAGTTTGGACACCTCCTTGGCCAGTTCAATGTCTGGCCGTCCCAGCATGGTCACCCCCACACCAGCTGCTCCACGCTTTTTGTACTCAATCTAACAGAGAAAATAAAGATACAGTTGGCATTCCCTTTGAATTATTCTACTGACACTGGTTTAGTAGGAAAATTAATGTCTAAGAATTACAGAGAAGACTTAAACCCCACTTACATTACTGATTAACTTGGCAGCCTGAGTTGCTTTCTTAATATCTGGTCGATCTGCTATTGGTGTGTAGTGGAGCTTTGACTTGGCATCCTTCTTGTATTCAATCTAATCCATGAAAACAGGCAAAGAAAATAAAATTCCTGAGGATTATCCATAAGGAATATACCAGTGAAGGACACAGCAACGTTGCTGAGAAAGTATATGGGCTTATTTTTGAAATAATTTCACAAGGAAGGGATTTGGGAATTTACTTTTGCAAGTTTTCTACAAATGAAGACATAAACATTGGAAATTCTGTCTGTATTTGAAAGAATGAAAATATTATTAGATGTGATTTGCATCACATTACTTTAAATCCTACCATGTGATCAAGTACAAATCCTTCATTTTAGTGCACTTTTATATTTGTAAATATTGGTACTTTAATCATTCAGATAAAAGTAAAGATACAATCATTCAGATAAAAGAAAAATAAAATCTTTCAAAATTACACCAAAACATGGAGGCTGGGAGGGAATTCAGAAATACAGAAACTTGGCTTTTTGATTGAATTTGCTTATAAAACCTACTTAATTAATGTAAAGAAAAGGCAAACTCACTGTACTCTGGTTTTTGGCAACTTCCATGGCATGTTTCACTTCAGGAGGCTCCAGCATGACAGAATAATTAGATTTGCCTTTCTCCTTCACAAACTTCTTCTTGTAGTTTGTCTGTTAAGAGCAAAAAGGGCCACGTGTGATTTGGGAATTTCACGGGGAGGGGAAACGCTGCTAAAACTTGGAAATAACCCCCCAAAACTGCTGAGAAGGGATCAGGTGGAGTCTCCTCATTCCCAAAGTGTGTGGTCCCCAGTTTGGCTGTCGGGATCTGCAGTTTGGATTTCGAAGGTGGTTATTTGGAGACGATGATGTGAGTCTGAACTCACCTCACTGACGTTCTTGGTCACCTCCTTCACGTGCGCCGTGTCTCGCGTCTCGGGCAGGGTCGTGAAAGAGCCGTGGGGAAGCTGCTTCTTGCTGTGCTCTTTGTACTTGTTCTGAAAGCACAGCATAAAAAGGGCTAAGAAACAGCAATTCAAGGATTAAATGAAACTAAAAGGAGCAAATAACTGCTGGTGTTTTACCTCGGAGACAAGAGAGCTGACATTCTTGGCCAGGAGGATCTGAGGTGTGTCTGGGACCACATGGTAGGTTCCCCGGGCTTTGTTGTGCTTCTCTTTGTATTTTATCTACCAGCAAGGAAAGATCTGATTTTAAGCCATGTTTATCTTATCTTGTGGCAGATTAGAAAGTAATTATTATAGTTGGGTCTGCTTGCTAGTGCAAAACTTAGCAGAAAATCCCATATTTTAATATATTCCAAAATAAATTCATTTTAGTCTATACATTCCTAGAGCTCTCACTTGGAATTTTATGGATACAGCAAATATTAATATCTTAATAGTAATTATTAAAGATACTTTGTGTTGTGCCCAATTTATAGCTGCAGCTTTTTTTGTTGTTTTCTCCAGATATTTCCATTTCAATACCAGGAATGCAGATACCTGGGTGGAAGGTCTGGAGTGTTCAGGCAGTGATAACTTTGGATATTAATTTAATATTGTGTGACATTTACAAGACCAAATTTATTCAGATTTTGTTGATTTGTTAATGAAATCAGCAAGTCAATTCAAATAATGGAGTGAGACTGAGAACAACTGTTCCAAGCTTCACTCTTATTCCAACCATATTTCCAATAAAACAGTTAATGTAATAAATAAAGTTCTAATAAAGAACTTTACTTACTTAGAGAGGAAAAGTGAGTTCAGTACTTACATCACTGGCTAAAATGGCATTATTTAAGGCCAACACTGTGTTTTTATCATCAGTGACAGAGATTTTGCATCCCTTCAGGAATTCCCGGTCCAGTTTGTATTCATACTGCAAGGAATAAAAAATAAAAAAAGGATAAGAGAGGAGAGTCTCAGATCTTCTCCAATTTGTTTCTTATATTCTGGACGTGAGAGATGTGGGAAAAGGGAATATTTGGTTTGTTCTGACTTTCTTACATCACTCTGCTGCAGAGACGACTTGGCTGCTTGCACAAAGTCAGGCCTGTCAGCAATCAGGTGCCAGTGAGCCTTGGCTGCTTCGTATTTCTTCTTATAATCCAGCTGTTTGCAGGGAAAAACCAAACAAAAGAGAGTTAATTGGAAGCTGTGAGCTTTACACATGACACAGAGAGGGAAATTCTCTTTGGTCTGTCCCAAAAAAGGAGAGAAGAGGGAAGAAAGTGCAGCTACGTCAGATTGGGGCTTTCCTCTGACTCATGCACAGTCTATTTATTTCAGTTTTCCCACTCTTAGGTGGAAAATGGAATATGAAGGGCTGAAGTGATGTCCTGACTTTAAGGAAGGTGGGAGCTTTCAGGTCCTTCCTCTTGAAATGGGTGTTGGGCCACTAAACCCAGAAAACATGGGAAAGCTTCCCATGAAGCGCTTGCTTTGTCTACAAGAACATCCCAGGGAATTCCTGGGACAGTTGTGTGTCTGCCAGGAAAGAGGACAACTAAAAGAACAGTAGATTTGTGACACAGAAGGAACTGCAGTGACCTCAAGGAAAACTTGCAAGATTGAGAATTTTAGCTCAAAATAAATTAAAATATATTGAAGTCAAGCAGGGTAAGTATTAGAAGCAACGTCCGAGCTGAGAAAATTCAGTGGAACTGAAAATGGAACTCGTGGCCTCTCTTGCCAGTCTAAAACACTCTCCATAATGAAATTAAGACCTGAATTCAAGTGAACTCACGTTGCTGTTGAGCTTGTAAGCGTGTCTTGGAGTCTTGATATGAACCGAATCTGCCACGACGTTGCAGCGAGATTTGCTCCTCTCGTACATTTCTTTGTATTTCAGCTACAGAAAGACCAACATATCAAATGTTACAAAGGCAACAATCAGCAGCAGCAAGAAAAGCATCCAAATGCAAAAAATATAACAGTAAAATTGCTCCTGTCAAGATAAAATCTTAATAGAAGAAATGCTTTAAATAAACTTGTTTTCTAAAAGCATTCAATGCTCCCTGAAAACTCCTTTATAGAACCTCAGCATTCAATTTGGAGCTTTAAAAAATGTACTTTAGTTCTCAGATCACTTTGAAACATCTCTGTCTCCTGGTGATCCCATTAGTATCTGGATAATATGGTTATTTTTCCTTCCTGGATTTGTTAATTATGTAGAGGATCTACAGAGCATCTGAGTGACATTCAGGTTACTTACTCTGACAGTACTATACTGAGTTACAGAAGTGTTAATATCCTCATTTTATTTATGGATATCTAAAGAACAATACAGAGGTCAGGGAGAAAGCCTAAGGCAGAAGGAGGAATTAGGACCAGGACTCCTAAATCCTATATATTATTCTATCTACTCCATCTTCCTTTCTCTCTCCTTTCTAGTCTTCCACTGCCCCAGAATCAAAACACATCTTTATTTTAGACCACAATATCTACCTTACAAATTCACAATATCCATAGAAGAAATTGATAAACACAGTAAAGTATTAACTAATTTATTCAGGGCTCAAAAAAAGCCACTACAGGATGAAGACCTAGGAAAAAACTCCCCAATTCATGACTTAGAGATCAGTTGCAGCTCATGGCTTTTATTGCTAGTAAAATGTAAATTACTAGTAAAATGTATAATTACACCAAAAAAACATGTTTCAAGAGTTACAGAAGAACATAAAACACTTGCTGAAAAACTGTTTTAAATGAATTAAATGATAATAGCATTAAATGAAAATAGAGTTTAACAGGTAAACAAAATAAAATAGGCTCTAACAAGAAAGGATTTTTTTTTTTTCTGAGTGTTACACCTGAGTTAAAAACATTGGCTATCGAGGTAAAAAGTTAATTATGAGTGGTTTTGCCCCCCAGCCAGGGCTGATTTACTCACATCACTGATCCTGTCCTTGACCTTGCGCACGTGGAGCAACATGGGCGTGTCCTGGATGGTGGTGTAGCCCTTAGGCTTGGCCTTGTTGTACTCCAGCTTGTAAATAATCTGAAAAGGCACGTTGGAGAGCAGATTAATTCCCTGGGGGTGATCATCCCACTGCAAAGGTTGGAATGAGGAGGAGATGAGCCCAAAGCACACTCACATCACTGATCTGTTTGTTGACTTTGGTGGTCCTCAGGTACTCCGGGGTCTCCAAAACTGTGGTGTATTTGTCTTTCTTCTTCTCATAGTCCTTTTTGTATTGGATCTGGTGGTGGGGAAAGATTGTAAATGAACACCCAGACCAGGACAAAACCTCTGGGAGAGATGTGATTTTATATGAACAGCACTTTGCAAAACCCTCCCACAAAGCCCAAGAAAGCTGAACATGCACCAGGAGCTGAGCTTTGCAAACCCCTCCTGTGCCCAAGAGACTGCCTGAGTAATTAATTTGTCTGATTAACTTCATTCATTTATCTCCAGGATGGAGCTAAAGAATCAGTCTTGGCAGTTCAGTGACTTTTAAATTCCCTAACTGGACAACATCTCCTTTTTAAATATTCATCATAGTTGGCCCAAGGTTGGACTTGATGATCTTGGGGGTCTTTTCCAACCTTAATGATTTTATAACCAGAATAAGGAGAAATGTAAAATATCTTAAACAACCAAAGATTTAAATATCCACCACATATATCCTAATGCCAGGATATTTTAAAGGCTTTGGCAGCAGCATTTGTGTCTTGATAACACTTTTCTTGCCCTACTGAGGACTCTAAACCTGTTTTCACAGGGTTCAGTGAGAACAGGCTGTTCACCAAGAGTTTGGATTCGTTGGAGGCATCCTGAGGGCAGCTGGAAGGGGTTTGAAAACATTTTTAAAACCCCATTTTTAAAACAGAACTTTCACTGCATCAGAAAACAAACCCATGCTTTTGAAACAGGACCATGACAGACAAAATATAAAAAACTTATGAACAAATAATCAACAATAACATGAAGTGAACATGCAGTCAGACACTGCCTTTTTTAAATTCAAACATACTCAAAATTACCTGCAAGGAGTTTTTAATGAGATAATAGAAATCCACAGAAAAATGGAATAAAAATGCCTAGTAAAGACCTTCAGTAATTTAATACTGAAGAATATTATCTGTGCTAATAGTAAAGAATAACACCCTTCTTCCTCTCATGTAATTGTTTTCTTCTGTTCCATTTCCAGTTTTTAACTTATTTATTAGTAATTTATTATTATCAATTTCCAGTTTATAATTTATATCGTTATTATTATTATTATTATTATTATTATTATTATTATTATTATTATT